AGCACGAAACTTTTCCTCCTTGGCTTAAATCCCCCCCAGCCGTATGTTCCGGCAGGACAGAGCCCAGGCAAAGACGCGCAGAAATGATGGTATAAAGAGTGGTATTTCGGACAGAGGGGAGAACATACCGGTGCATCGGGTCACCAGTAGTGGCGTTGGATTCGTCAATTGTAATTGTAAGGTTGAACATGGTTGAAACACCACTTCCTTCGTTGTGCAATCTCCTCTTGATCTACAGCTCTGTACATACATCGCTTGTCTTACACCTGTAAAATAAATACTGCTACCATATGGGGTGTATATGTGAGGTTTGTGGTCTTATATTGATGGTGACGATTGAAGATTATTATACAGTGGGTTATACAGTGGCCGTTTCAACAATATCACAATTCTGATGCTAATATAAATAAAAATACTAAAATCAATTCCATTGCATGTACACAGTGTAAATAAAAAAAAATCACAATTAGTTCCTGATTATCAACAAATTACTGCATATGGTATAATAACAACATATAATACAAAACTTACAAGACAATATTAACGTGTTATACTACAAGTAACCGCCAGTAATCACACATCTGTTTTTTTTTTCATTAGAATATTTCCAGTCCATAAGGGGAAACGGGAGATCATAGCGGACGAATTGGTGTGAAATAAAAGTTGCACTGCATTACACTACTCTTGTTCTCGTTCCTGTTTCTGTTCCAGTTCCTGTTCATGTTCTTGGTGTATTTGTTCCTGTTGCTGTGCTATTGTTGCTTTTATTATTTTACTATTGTTTTGTTGTTATTGTTGTTGATATCAATACAATCATCATCCTCACTAATATTACTGTTATTATCGTTATCATTGGTATTATTATTATAATAATAATAATGATCAGTATTATCATTATCTTTATTGTTATTGCTGTTATTATCATTATTGTTATCATTATTATTATTATTATTATTATTATTATTATTATTATTATTATTATTATTATTATCATTATCATCATCATTATTATTATTATTATTATTATTATTATTATTATTATTATTATTATTATTATTATTATGATTATTATTATTATTATTATTATTAGCATTAGCATTAGCATTAGCATTAGCATTAGCATTATTCATATTATTATTATTGTTATTATTATTAGCATTATTATTATTCATATCATCATCATTATTATTTTTATTCATTTCATCTTCATTATTATTATTTTTATTCATTCCATCATTCATTATCATTACCATTATTATTAGCATATTTTTTTCCATTCCATCATCAATATAATAATTTTTTGGTAGTACTAGAAGCAAAGACAATCCGAATACATTTATGTCTCCAGCTATCATCCTTACATATTTCAGTATACATACTTTTAGGATTTTAGGAGAGTCTACCATTACCAAGTTTTCTGTCACTGTATTAATGAAAACGTAAAGCACTGACTTTTAAGAAAATGTAGTTCTCTAGCTAAGGGGGACTAAAGTAGAGTTCTCATCTGAATTAAAAGTACAAGGTAATACATTGTTATGAATATTATAGTCATCGTTATACTTATTTTCCATCTAATCATCACAGCTATTGCTATCACTATAATTACCATTAGTGTTGCACTATAATTACTATCATTACATTTGTATCATCAATATCTATTTTTATCATTATAGTTGCTCTACTTATCATTATCATATTTGCATACACATACACACTCACAAACATATATAAAAAAAAATATATATATATATATATATATATATATATATATATATATATATATATATATACATACATATATATATATATATATATATATATATATATATATATATATATATATATATATATGTGTGTGTGTGTGTGTGTGTGTGTGTGTGTGTGTGTGTGTGTGTGTGTGTGTGTGTGTGTATATATATATATATATATATATATATATATATATATATATATATATATATATATATATATATATATATGTATGTATGTATGGATGACACGACTGTGAATAGAGGGGAGGTCTAACTCTTTCCTCATGACGAGAACTTTAGCAGTCACTGGGCATCCAAGTATAATTCTCATGGCCTTGTTCTGTAAAACTTCAAGGGGTTTGAGGGTTGTGGCAGTATACTAAGAACTGGGCTTGCATAGTCTATCATGGACCTAACACGGGAGATATACATCAACTTTAGGACTCTCGGGGAGGCACCTACATATCTGTTACTTATGTATTGCAATGGTCTTAAACGCTCAAGGCAACGTTCCTTGATGTTTTGAAGCGTGAGTTGTGGGACATGAGGTGGGGAGCAGTCACCATAACACCAAGATATTTGTAGGTGTCAGTTCTTGCAATAGTTTGTTCACCTAACTTTGGAATGTAAGGTAATCTTACATCTGGAAATATGCTTAGTTTTGATTGGGTTGATTATGAGACCAAGGGAGGCACATTTTTTGCTGAACCTAATCCCCCCTATCAAATGCCTGAATAAGAATGTCATCAGCATAGGATGTGATGCTGCATAGGTTCCCTAACTCAGCGTTGAGCTTGCAAAGAGAGTGCATAAGTATATTAAACAGTGTTGGGGACAATACTCCCCCTTGTGGAGTGCTTAATTCCAATTCGCCACAAGCACTATAGATGCCTTGATACCATACTTTTGCTCTTCTCAAAGATAGAGAATCCTTTATCCATAGCAGAAGCTTGCCCTTAACTCCTAAAAGAGTTAGTTCATGGAGGATTGCAGTAGGGGAGGCTCTGTCAAATGCACCCTTAAAGTCTATGAAGTAAGAAGACTGTACATTATGTACATTTAGGTACTGTGCTAGACACATTTGTGTTCCTCTCCCTTTTTGAAAGCCAAAGACAGATGAATGGATGATGTCTTTGATCTGGTGGAGTAAAAGAGTAAGGAGAATTCTTTCACAGGTTTTAGACAGGCAGGCCGTCAGAGAAATTGGTCTATATTCATCAGTCCGTCCTGGTTTTTGGATGGCTGCCTGTTTCCAAGTGGTAGGCAAGATGCCTGTCATGTAGGTTAAGTTGAAGAGATCAAGAAGAGGATTTCTTTCCTTTACCTGTACTTTTGCAAGAAATCGGATGATGTCGTAAGTGATTCCATCATCCCCAGGTGCAGTGGATCTAGTCTTAATGGCTGCAAGGAGTTCCTCCCTTGTAAATGGTGTATCAGCCTCATCTAAGAGGTGGCACTGATAGTCAATTTCGTGTTTATAGCTTAATTTAAGGGAGCGCCTGCATATGGATAATGGAAGGCTATCAAGAGAAGAATCCTCACACCATTTATTGAGGAGAGATGAGGCTACCCTTTCTGGATGTGGGTAGAGTGTTATATTGCATGTATTGCCTTTAATCTTGCTGATTTCCTTCCATACATTACTCATGGTAGTCATGGAGTCAATTGATTCTGCCCATGCATAATATTTTCCTCCTGCTTTCGTGTTATTATCTCACTGATCTTTTTACTAAAAAACACAAGATCTCTAGCTAAGTACGTTTTTTTTCCCCAAGTGTCGTGAGCCTCCTAAGAAGTTTTATCTCAGGGTCTTTGTTCAGTTCTTGTGCATGTCTACCTCTGGAGGATAAAGATCCGTGCTTGGCAGGACTTTTGGGCTGTATTTGAGTAAGGATGTTGCCAACTTGTTGACAGAAGGTTTCATTAAAGTGATCCAGGCTGGTAGTAGTAAAGTCTTCATACCAGTAGGCAATTCTTTCAATGAATTCATCATGAAATTTAGTAGCAAGGTGGTATCGAAGGCGTGGCTGGGGTGGGGTTCTTTTGCAAAAGGGGGGGGGTTATACTTTATGCCCAGTGATCACTAACTAAGAATAGGATGACTTTCGCAGTACATGGTAGTGTGTGCTGATTGTACAGAGCTATATAGCCCAATTTGCCACCCAAATAATGAGTTTTTTTCGAGGGGGCATAATAAGGGTATGGGATCACTAGTATTTTAGAGATAGCCATAATAAACCTTACCGTTTTTGCCAATCGTACTTCCCTCTGAACCTAGGAGAGGATGGCGAGCATTAAAATCCCCACACAATAAGACAGTATCAGTATGTATCATGCATTTAGGTTTAGGTACCACCTCACTATCATATGGATTATATACATTAATGATGGTGATAGATTTACCGTCTAGAAATATTTTAATACTAAGATATTCAACACAGGAGTCGTCACGATTGTTATCAATCACTTTCGAAGGAATTGAGTTCTTTATGTAAATGCCAAGCCCTCTCGTAGAGGGGTTAGCAATATTTGGTCTGTCATAGTATGTGTATCCCGCAATTTTTGCATAACGAGCACTAGTTCTGACTTCCTGAAGGCAACACACATCAACATTTTCGTAGAGGGGTTAGCAACATTTGGTCTGTCATAGTATGTTATCCCGCAATTTTTGCATAACGAGCACTAGTTCTGACTTCCTGAAGGCAACACACATCAACATTTTCGGAGTGAAGGTACTGGGAGAGAGTTGCCTTGCGTTTCTGCAAACTGTTTATGTTCCAGGTGAATATGTGTATATATATATATATATATATATATATATATATATATATATATATATATATATATATATATATATATATATATATGTATATACATATATGTATATATATATATATATATATATATATATATATATATATATATATATATGTGTGTGTGTGTGTGTGTGTGTGTGTGTGTGTGTGTGTGTGTGTGTGTGTGTGTGTGTGTGTGTATGTGTGTGTGTGTGTGTGTGTGTGTGTGTGTGTGTGTGTGTGTGTGTGTGTGTGTGTGTGCACATGTATAATATATCTATTTATCTATCTATCTGTCTATCTATGAATACATACATGTGTGTATACTTTTGTATGCGTGAGTGTGCTTTTGTGAGTGTGAGTGTGCATGCGTATGTGTGAATCCTGCTTAGTATTCCCGAAGAGGAAGATGGCGGTACCTGGCAGTCTCCTAGGTATGCGCCCACCGGGTGATCAGTTCTCCCTGTTCCGCGGCCA